TGAAAAAAGTTGCTAACGTTTTGATCGATGACATTCTGTTGCTCCTTCTGGATCAATCGAACAAACTAACGGTAGTAAATCTGGAGATTTAGAAGGAACACTTAATAGTGTTAAAGTTGAATCTGCTGCACAGATTAAAGTGAATGATTTACAGCATAGTAAAGAAATCACCTTATAGAAAGAGAATGAAAATCTCTACAAAATCATATTTTGAATAGACTCGCAGATGATCTGTATGATAATTACAGTTGATGTGATACTGCAAAACAAGATTGAAAGACTCTGAAAAAGAAGTATGACGTAGAAGCTTGAGCAAAGAAGTATGTTGTTAGCCGCTACTTCAAGTATCAAATGCAAAGATGTAAGGTCGATGGAGGCTCAATATTACGAACTTCAAAATATTGCTTAAAAGATCATCACAAAAGGTATGTGTTTAAATGAACAATTTCAAATTGGTTTTATTATTGACAAGCTACCCCATAGTTTGAATGTTTAAAAAAAACAAAAAGGCAATCTTAGAGACATTATCAAAAAGAAAAAGTCTCGGTTGTTTCAAACAACAAAAAGAAACTCGGTGTAGTTCTGAAGCTATTTGGCAAATGATTAAAGAATCAGAACCACAATATTGCAAACCGAATTAAGAATGGGAACCTTCTATGATCCCAATAGCTCCAACTAGGCAACAACCATTACCTAAAAGAAATGACGTTGGTTTCTCTTTGTTTTAACTATGGAAAATCAAGTCATATGACTAAGAAATGTAGAAGTAAGGTTGAACTTGGTGTTGTCCCTAATGCACAGGTCAACCTGACTAATGGGCAATTTATTGCTATGGTCATTGAAATCAACATGATTGATAGATATATTGGTTAGTGGATAGACACATGTGTCTCTCGTTGTGTCTGCTATGATCATATTATGTTTAAACATACACGAATACTAAAGATAAGAAAGTGTTACTTGGAGATGGCCAGACCATGAATGTTGCTGGAATTGTAGACATGGAGCTAAATTTCACCTTCAAAAAGACTTTAATCTTAAAGAACGTTATGCAGGTTCCTAAGATTAGAAAGAATATTGTTTCTGATTTTCTTTTAAATAAGACATGGTTTAGTTAGTCTATTGGGGTAGATTTGTACGCCATTATAAAGAATGAAGTTTATATGTTTAAAATTCTTGTAAAGAATTTGAAAATGATATAATAAGAATTTACAGTGATAGATAGACTGTATGATTCTAATTTATTAATGAATTTTATATATGGAATTGTACATGAAACGACTGCACCATACTATCTTGCAATGAATAGTAAAACATAAAGAAATAATATAACTCTTACTGAACTTGTTGTTGCAATTATGATGAATTCTGGTGCTGCACCTCACTGGTGGGGGGAAATTTTATTGATTGTTTGCTATGTCCTGAATAGAGTCCCCAAGTCAAAATGTAAGATCTCTCCTTATGAGATATTAAAGAAAAGACAATCAAACTTGTCTTATTTGAGAACTTGGGGTTGTCTGACTTATGTCAGAATTCCGGATCCGAAACGAGTTAAACTCGCTAGTAGAGCATATGAATGTGTTTTCATTCGGTATGCAGCAAACAGTAAAGCATATAGGTTTTATTACCTAAAGGCAAAAGTGATCATAGAATCAACTGATGTTGAATTCTATGAAAACAAATTTCCTTTCAAATTGAGAAATAATGGGGGCACACAATCGAGTCACATTCCTGTGATAAGAAGCACAAAAAGCAACGACAATATAGAAATAGAACTTCAACGAAGTAAACGAGTAAGAGTTGCTAAATACTATAGACCTGATTATGCGGCTTATAATGTAGAAGAAGATCCAATGAATCTTCAAGAAGCCTTTTCATCTCTGGATGTTTAGTTATGGCAAGAAGCTATCAATGATGAGATAGAATCTATAGAATCTAACAAGACCTGACACTTAGTAGACTTGCCTCCTGGTTGCAAACCAATCGGTTGTAAATAGATCTTGAAAAGGAAACTAAAACCTGATGGAACTATTGATAAATACAAGGGTCGCCTTGTTGCCAAAGGTTTTAGACAAAGAGAAAATATAGATTTCTTCGACACCTTTTCTCCTGTCACTAGAATTACATCCATTAGGGTACTTATTTCAATAGCTGCTATTTATAACTTAATAGTACACCAAATGGATGTTAAAACAACTTTTTTAAACAATGACTTAGAAGAAGAAATCTATATGAAACAACCGGAAGGGTTTGTGATCTATGGATAAGAAAACAAGGTTTGTAAGTTAGATAAGTCTTTGTGTGAGTTAAAACAAGCTCTAAAGCAATGACATGTAAAGTTTGATAACTTAATGATATCGAATGTGTATAAAGTGAATGAAAGTGACAAATATGTTTATTACAAATTTGAGAATTGTATTTGCACTATCATATGTCTATATGTAGACTATCTACTCATATTTGGATCAAACATCCAGTCCATTAATGATATGAAATCATTGTTGTGCAACAACTTTGATATGAAAGACCTCAGAGAAGTGAGTGTGATTCTTGGTATCAAGATCACAAAATCCGAGCAAGGAATTTCTTTGGATCAATCACAATATGTGAAAAAGATCTTAAAGAAATATAATTACTTTGACAATAAACCTGTGAGCACACCAAATGATCCAAGCGTGAAGCTGTTTAAGAACACTGGTGAAAGTGTTAGACAAACAGAACATACGAGCATCATTGGAAGTCTTAGGTATTCCATTGATTGTACTAAACCTGACATTGCATATGTCGTAGGGATTGTTGTGCGGGTTTACTAGTAGACAGAGTAATAAACATTGACAAGCTATTGAGCGAGTCATACGGTACCTTAAAAGGACCATGAATCTCGGTTTACATTAACAAAGATTTCCTGTTGTACCTGAAGAATACAATGATGCAGATTGGAATACCTTATCAAATGATTCCAAAGCAACTAGTGGCTATGTATTCAACATAGCTAGAGGAGTTGTATCTTGGAAATCAAAAAAATATACTATCCTGAGAATATAGCATTAGCGACTGCTAGTGAAGAAACAAGTTGATTAAGATGCTTGCTAACTGAGATTCCCTTATGGGAAAAACATATGTCAGTTATGTTGATCCACTGCGATAGTACCGCGGCTATTGCAAAAATTGAGAACCGTTATTATAATGGTAAAAGGCGTCAAATAAGAAGAAAGCACAACACTGTTAGAGATTGTATCTCTAAAGGAGCTGTAAGAGTGGATCATGTACGCACTGATGAAAATTTAGCAGATCCTTTAACGAAAGGATTAGCTAGAGAGAAAGTCTATAATACATCATATAAGATGGGCTAATGCCTATAGGAAAATGAGTTGCTCATGATGGTAATCCGACCTAAATGACTGGAGATCCCAAGAAATAGGTTCAATGGGTAATAACAAGTTATGAGTAATATGAGATGATCATGCAAGTGAAGCATGAATCCTGAAGTAATAAGAGGATGAGATAATAGAAACTCTTAATGAGATCTATACTCTGTATGAGGGAGTACCTAGGCTATAAGAGTACTCTTGATAGACCCACCTATGTGATTGTGGAACTTAGGCCGGTTCCTACGGAATTTCGAGGCAGAATTCCTAGAGCTTTCATTAAACTGTGATACAAGTGCAGGGCCATTAAAGCACGGGCTATTAGAATACACCTTAAGAAAAGGTTGTGTGCGAGTTTGATGTCTGAAATAGAGTTCAAGACATTTGTGTCACTCTTGTTGAATTGGAATCCTACTTGCTATGCAAAGGTTCAAGTCGTAGACACCTTTGTTTATGCACAATCTTAGAAACGTTTGACGTTACTTCTAAAATCAATTTTTTAAATTCAAGTGGGTCCAATATGTTGAATTTAAAATTTTTCTCAGGTCCCACATTGTTAAAATATCTTTTTGGTTGAAAAAACCATTTAGTCTCACATTGCTCATGTGAGAAATATTAATTATATTACTTCACTATATAAGGAGTGCACATGTTTCATTCCAAATCACACCAAAAACTATTCTATTAGTTTTTCCTTCCTCACTCTCATAACTCTGCGTCTCTCGAATTGTCGAAGCGCCATCTTCTTCCCCTTTCTTCCTACTCGTTGAATTTTCCGAGTATTTTCTTGAATTCTCTTTAGAGAATTATGTTAATTTCTCCTCATTTGAGTAAATTTTCAAGTTTAATCTTTTGGATTCTCTTTGGAAAATTATTTGAATTTCTCTTTGTTGGAGAAATTATTATGAGTGGTCAAATGACCATTATTAATTTCTCTTTGGAGAATTATTTGAGTTTCTTTTTGTTTAAGAAATTATTATGACTGGTCTTTGTACCAGATACTACGAGTGGTGTTGATATTATCTATCATGCAAGTAGTAATCGTACAGTATAGAACTGGGCTGTTTTATCCTGGAGGCGACGCGGTAGTTCGACTGCTTTGCATGATTTTTGAGCAGTGCCGCGAAACGTCTTAAAGAGAGCGACCTAGTCCGCGACTCAACCTAGTAATTTTTCGGTGGCAAATGTTTTAAAATCCAAAAACCAACAATTTCGTTAATGTTTCCAACAATAATTTCATGCAAGTCACTTTTTCATTTTAATTTATTTTAAAATAAATTAGAATTTTATAACAATGGAGTACTCCTCTGTTTTTATTAACCAAGAATAGAGGACACTATTGCATTAGTGCCACAAAAAATGGAGGTTGAATTTGTCCAAAGCGAATCTCATTTTCTTAATGAAAAAGATATAAAGTTTAAATATAATTTTAGAGCAAAGTCTTGAGTAAAAATAGTATCATAATAACATAGAGGCATTAGAGATGACTTAATTTTTTTCAAATCTTCTTTTATTGTAATGACCAATGCACTGTTTTGCATTAACATTCCCATCTAATTTACTTAGGCTAATCAAGGAATCATCATGATCTATTTAATCGAGTCCTAGCTTGATATAGTAGGAATGCAATGTCTATGTACAAGCAGCTTCAACAGCTAAACTCTTTATTACTCCACTGCATGGATTTCCAAATGTATTATTTGATACTCCAATATTACAACTGCTTGATCCAATGCAGGCCTTTTGTACTACGGATAGCGCCGTATTGCTGCTGCAGCGTCCGTGGTTGAAGTTTCCGCATGTTCCATGAGGAGTTCCAAAGCTTGCAAATTTAATAGAAGAGATAACCTGATTAGGATAAGGGCACTCCAATGACAGTACGGGGCCAACCTTTGTTCTTGATTCAGTATCCGAATTCCATGTGTCTATAGGTGGAGGGTGAGATTCAGATACATGTGAACACACACTTTCTATCTGTTTTGTACCAAATGATATTTTTCTAGGGTCGCCTCCGTCTTCCTCAAACAATACAAGAATGTTGCTGTCTGATCGCAACCACAACCGCGGTACATGATATCTGCAGGATCAGTGGCTCAGTAAGTTTCTAAAAGGTCTACTTTTTTTCCGAAATATAGCGCATTAGTTTTCTGGTGCGATCATATAAACACTAATTAACTACTTCGAGTTCTCTATTGTAGAAAAGAATGTCTTAACACTTACAATGTCTGTGATGGTTTTCCACAGTTTTTGAGACATTTGGATGAATTATAGGATCCTCTATAATCACATGAGTCAGTACAACCAGATTTTGAAGCAATGTATGTTGGCCAGTATCGTCCAATGCTCTGTCCGTTCACCCAAGCTTCGCCTTTTCCCATCCCCGTGAAGTCAATTGCAACCGGGTTACTTCCAGAAGGAGCAACAAATTCCGTCTAATATAACAAATCAACATTAGTCATCTGAACAAAAACTTGAGAATTTTAATAAATATCTTAATAAGATTACCTTGTACCAAGTCAAAGGTTGATTTGTAGGTAAGGTGGATTGTGAATTCCATTGTCCACCTTGAAGTCCAACCTGAAAACAGAAAAATGAAACTAATTCACTAAAACTCAAAAGGAGAAACAAAAGCAGGCCTTAATTTAAGCCTAGACTAACCTGATATGTCCACAGCTTAGACGAGAGATCGACGGTACTGCCATTTTTTAAACCTTTCAATATTACCGGACCAGTGATCCCCGCACCCACTCTGTCATAAAATGCTCCATAGTTCTATGGTGTTTAAAATCCACATTAGCCGATACATATTAAAAATAAAAACCATGATTTTTGTCGCTGTAGAGGCCTAATTATGTACTTTATTATAAGAAAATATGAACCTGTAATCCCACTGTTAAACTCAGGAGATCAATTGTGTTCTTTCCAGCTACAAGTGTAATAGGGATGTCCACCTTTACCTTAGCCTTTTCTTTGTTTCCTGTTCCACTACCTGAAAAAGTTCTCGGTAATAATATATTTGTGGGATTTTGGATCGAACTCTAGTTGGTCGAAGTACTTGCTGTAGTCGAAGAAGGTTCTAGCATGTATTTGTCGAAGGATGCTTGTCGAATTAGGTTTTAGTGTTTAAACCCTAATTTGTTAAGTTAGCTTGTGTGTTAAGTTAGCTTGTATAATGGGCCTTGTGGAAAAAGCCCATTAGTTAGTATGTTAGGTTTTATTATAAATAGCATACTAGTCTCTCATCATTGCCAACACAGCAAATCCTAATAAAGGGTGAGAGGGTTATTTGTTATTCTTGTAAACTTGTAATCTTGTTTTCTAAGAGAAAGTAAAGAATAGCAGTTATAACCAATTCTTGTGTTCTTCTTCTTCCTTGTTCTTTATTCTTCCCTAATTCTATACTTTGTTATTGGCATTGAATTCACAACAAATTGGTGCGGTGAGCGTGGAGAAGATGCCTTCAACAAAGTATGAGATTGAAAAGTTCACCGGAGTGAATGATTTCGGTCTATGGCGCTTGAAGATGAAAGCCCTACTGGTTCAGCAGGGTTGTTTGGAAGCGTTGAAGGGAGCGACGGCGATGGACGCTGCGTTAACAGAAAGAGAGAAGACGGCCATGATCGAGAAAGCACACAGCGCAATTTTGTTGAGCCTTGGTGATAAGGTTCTTCGACAGGTATCAAAGGAGACGACGGCATCAGGGTTATGGGTGAAACTTGAAAGTTTGTATATGACCAAATCTCTGGTAAATCGACTCTACCTGAAGCAAGCTTTGTATTCATTCAAGATGATTGAAGATAAAGTGTTAGCTGAGCAGTTGGATATGTTCAACAAGCTGATTCTTGATCTTGAAAATATTGATGTAAAGATTGATGATGAAGATCAAGCGCTGTTATTGTTGTGCGCTTTGCCCAGATCACATGCTCACTTCAAAGAAACTCTCTTGTATGGAAGAGAGTCCCTGACCTTTGAAGAAGTTCAATCAGCTTTGTACTCTAAGGATTTGAACGAACGTAAGGAGCATAAACCTTCGACGGTTGGTGAAGGTTTGGCTGTTAAAGGAAAATTCGACAAGAAGAAAGGTAAAAATCAGTCGAAGTCTTATAGTGGTGACACATCTGGTATTAGATGCTATCACTGTAAGAAAGTAGGTCACACAAGAAAGGTGTGCCCTGAACGCCTGAAAGATCATGGAGGTAAGGATAATGGCAACGCAGCTATTGTCCAAGATGATTTCGAATCATCTGATGTTCTTGTGGTTTCAAGCAAAAACTCATCGAAGGAATGGATTATGGATTCTGGATGCACTTGGCACATGACTCCAAACAAAGACTTGTTCGAGGAATTATGTGATCAAGATGGTGGATCGGTATTGCTGGGAAACAACAAAGCTTGCAAGATTGCAGGCGTTGGATCTGTGAGATTCAAGCTCCATGATGAGTCAATAAGATTGTTGACTGAAGTCAGGTATGTACCTGATTTGAAGAGAAATTTGATTTCTCTTGGTGAATTCGACAAGAAAGGATATGTTTTTCAAGGAGAGAAAAGTATCCTGAGAGTCATGAAAGGGTCGAAGGAAGTCTTGAGAGGCGTGAAGAAACAAGGCTTGTATACCCTTGAGGCTGAAGTTGTAAGTGGTTCGACAAATGTTGCATCCACGAAACCTTTGTCGAAGACAGAAATTTGGCACATGAGATTGGGCCATGTCAGTGAAAGGGGTCTGGTCGAATTAGGGAAACAAAATCTGCTTGGTGGAGATAAAGTCGAAAAGCTGAAGTTTTGTGAACCCTGTGTACTTGGAAAATCCTGTAGAATGAAGTTCAACAAAGGCAAACAAAGAACACATGGATCCCTTGATTACATCCATGCTGATCTTTGGGGGCCTGCAAGGTGTCCATCACATTCAGGAGCAAAGTATTTTCTATCCATAGTAGATGACTATTCCAGAAAGTTATGGGTATTCATCCAGAAGACTAAGGATGAAACTTTTGAGAATTTCAAAAGTTGGAAGACTCTTGTCGAAAATCAAACTGGCAGAAAGGTAAAAAGGTTGAGAACCGACAATGGCCTTGAGTTTTGCAATGAGGCGTTCGACAGTTTTTGTGTTGCCTCTGGTATTGCAAGGCACAGAACAACCGCAGGTACTCCACAACAAAATGGTTTGGCTGAAAGGTTTAATCGAACTATTTTGGAGAGAGTTAGATGCATGTTGACTAGTGCTGGATTAAAGAAGGTGTTTTGGGCTGAGGCTGTTTCGACAGCAGCATATCTGATAAACAGATGTCCTTCGACAGCGTTAGATATGAAGACACCCGAAGAAGTTTGGTCGGGACATCCACCAGATCTCGACAAACTAAGAGTATTTGGCTGTGTAGCCTATGCTCACATTAGGCAAGACAAGGTCGAACCTAGAGCTCTGAAATGCATGTTTATGGGATACCCTGAAGGAGTGAAAGCTTATAGGCTATGGTGCCTAGAGCCAGGTCACAGGAGGTGTATCACCAGTCGAGATGTAGTTTTCAATGAAACTGAAATGGCTTTCAAGAAAACTGATGATGTTGACGAAGAGCTGGAACAGGTAGAGATTCCTGTTGAGGTGGAGCATGTTGATGCTGAAATGCGTATCCCAGATGAAGTCGAAGAAGAAACAGAAGATTCTGATGATGTTGAGGAAACTGTTGATGACTACCTATTGTCGAGAGATAGGCAAAGAAGAGTCATAAAACCACCTCAGAGACTTGGATATGCAGATCTTGTAGCTTATGCCTTAATCTCTGCAAGTGAAGTTCTAGACGAAGAACCTAGAGATTATAAGGAAGCTATAAGGAGTCGAATGAAGACTGAATGGCTAAAGGCCATGCATGATGAGATGAAATCTCTTCATGATAATCACACTTGGGAACTGATCAAGAAACCTGTTGGGGCAAGGTTAGTCAGCTGTAAGTGGATTTTCAAAGTTAAGGAAGGAATTGAAGGAGTAATGTCGAAGAGGTACAAGGCAAGATTAGTCGCAAGGGGTTTCACTCAGAAAGAAGGTGTCGACTTCAATGATGTATTTTCCCCTGTTGTGAAGCACAGATCCATTCGAATGTTGCTTGCCATGGTGGCTCAGTTCGACCTTGAACTGGAACAAATGGATGTGAAGACTGCGTTCCTGTATGGTGACTTAGACGAAACAATCCTGATGAGGCAACCTGAAGGGTATGTCGAAAAGGGGAAAGAAGATTATGTGTGCAAACTGAAGAAATCTCTATATGGACTTAAACAATCTCCTCGACAGTGGAATAAGAGATTCGACAAGTTCATGGAACACATAGGTTTCATTCGAAGTCAGTTCGACCATTGTGTTTACTCCAGATTTCGACCTGAAAATTCATTTGTTATTTTGTTGCTTTATGTTGATGATATTCTGATAGCAAGCAACAATGTCGAAGATGTAATGAGGGTGAAGGCTGAACTCAATAAGGAGTTCGACATGAAGGATCTGGGAGCTGCATCCAGGATTCTTGGAATTGACATTCGAAGAGATAGAAAGCAGTCGAAATTATGCTTATCTCAAGAGGCATACCTACGAAAGATTCTTGACAAGTTTGGTATGTCGAACTCAAAGCCTGTTGTGACTCCAACGAACCCTCAATTCAAGCTGAGTATTGATCAATGTCCCAGTACTGATGTTGAAAGAACATATATGAATAGCATCCCATATGCTAATATAGTTGGTTCTTTGATGTATGCTATGGTCTGTACTAGACCCGACATAGCATATGCAGTAAGTCTTGTAAGCAGGTACATGGCGAATCCTGGAAAGGCTCACTGGCAAGCGTTAAAGTGGATTCTAAGGTACATAAATGGGTCTCTGAACCGAGTCTTAATTTATGGTGGAGCCTTGGGTGAAGATAGTATAGCAGCAGTCGAAGGCTATGTTGACTCTGATTATGCAGGATGTATGGATTCCAGGAAATCTATTTCTGGATATGTTTTCACTATGTTTGGTACAGCAATTAGTTGGAAAGCAACTCTTCAGAAGGTTGTTGCCTTATCAACTACTGAAGCAGAATATATTGCCTTAACTGAAGCTGTGAAAGAAGCATTGTGGCTTGAAGGTTTTGCGAAGGAGCTGAAACTTCAAGGTCAAGGTATCACTGTTAAATGTGATAGTCAAAGTGCAATACACCTGTCGAAGAACTCAGCCTATCATGAGCGAACCAAGCACATAGATGTGAGGCTGCATTTCGTCAGAGGAGTAATCGAGCGTGGAGAAGTCCAAGTGCTGAAGGTCTCGACAGATCACAATGCTGCTGATATGATCACCAAAACATTGCCAAGTTGCAAGTTTTTCCACTGTATGCAGTTGATAAAGCTGCATGAAGAAAGCTAGTTAGTGTCTCTTGATGCTGTAGAGTTAGGTCCAAGGTGGAGATTTGTGGGATTTTGGATCGAACTCTAGTTGGTCGAAGTACTTGCTGTAGTCGAAGAAGGTTCTAGCATGTATTTGTCGAAGGATGCTTGTCGAATTAGGTTTTAGTGTTTAAACCCTAATTTGTTAAGTTAGCTTGTGTGTTAAGTTAGCTTGTATAATGGGCCTTGTGGAAAAAGCCCATTAGTTAGTATGTTAGGTTTTATTATAAATAGCATACTAGTCTCTCATCATTGCCAACACAGCAAATCCTAATAAAGGGTGAGAGGGTTATTTGTTATTCTTGTAAACTTGTAATCTTGTTTTCTAAGAGAAAGTAAAGAATAGCAGTTATAACCAATTCTTGTGTTCTTCTTCTTCCTTGTTCTTTATTCTTCCCTAATTCTATACTTTGTTATTGGCATTGAATTCACAACAATATTGATATATCGGTAATAACGTATCGATATATAATCTTTTCTTTTATTACCTGCATATTTTCCATTTATAAAAGTATGAAGGGCATGACCAAGGGATTTAATGTGAAGAACAGGTTGAGCACCAGCATTATCTTCAACAACAATGCTTCAAAACAAATTGAAAAAGGTTAACACGCGGGGCGGAGAAGTGCAGGTCAAAAGAAAGCTTTCTCAAGCTTTGAAACTCATATACCTCAATGAGTACCACAAGTAGTCACTTCTATCGGCCGTCGTGTTTATTTGCTCGTGTAGTCCATATTTTGAGAATGCATCAGTCTTTGAAATACCGACCGGCTCACTAATCCAACTCCATTTCGAACTTGAACTGTCCAAAGAATCAACCTCTTCTTTTAAAGATTCAGTTGCGAACCTTGAAGTCATAGACACGGAATTAATCTGTAGTACGGAAAATAACATTAGTTTATGACAATTACTTTGAGAACAAGAAATAGCAGAAAAGATATCGAAAATAGATTGATTAACCACATGAAGTTTAAAACTCGGTCTAGTAAATTGAACTATATCTTTTGATTGGTAATTCATGAGGCAAACCTTTGCAGTATTATGAATAACACTTCTGCAATCTGGTAAGATGCTCACAGACCAAGCAGGCAAATGATATGAATTGCCGTTAAAAGTTACCGTTGAATCAGTCATACCAGTGTTAGCAAGGAAGGCGACGCATACATTTCCTGTCTTGTAAACTGCAGTCTGACATTGAATAATAAAAAGAGATATAACAAAACCATTCACGTCGCTGAATATTTTATAACTTGAACAAGCAACTGTGATCAAAACTTTCAAGGGCCTCTTATTTATTACCTCTAGATTTGGACCAGGAGATGAAATGGTTGGATCTGTTGCTATCAATGCTTCTTCACAAAGCTTTATGGCCTTATGCAAATCTTTAAGATGGCCCCATTTGGGTTGTCTAATAATTCCTGCATCGAGAAGTAGCACATCTTATATTATTCTACATTTCTATAACATCAAAATCAGTATGATAGTTGAAAGATAGCATACCATACTCATCAATGGGTGCATCATAATCATAACTGGTGGAAACGAAAGGTCCGCCAGTTGTCCGGCCAAAGTTAGTCCCTCCATGGTACTGTTTCAAAACAAGCAACCAAGAAAAGTTGTGGTATCAGTAGGTTTACTATCTTGTGTAGTAACTTTGAGCTTAAACTACATGCAATGCTTTTAATTCAGGATAGAAGAAAACAGCATATTATTATGGAACAATAAAGATTTTTTCAAATTCCGATATGCTATGCTATAGCTCCTCTATTTGACAACACTAACTACATGTGAGGTTATATTACCATGTAGTAATTTTGAAAAGTTCCACCGCGTTGGAAAAAGCGTGCCACAGCAAATGCAAGATCTTCCACAGGTCTATAAGGCACAGCCTCTCCAAATGCAAAAAACCTGTGGTTTGAAAGAATTTTTAGATCATATTTTGAGTAAGCCATTCAAATAACTATAAATGATTTAAATAGAAAAGGTCCCTACTAACCATCCACTATAATTTTCAGTCCACATTTTTGGTTTATTGTCAGAGTTTGGTGTGAATTGATCGCAGTAAAATCCATTGCATGTGTTAATCTGTGAGCATTTAAGATAGAATATTACAAAACTTAACAATCAAGTAGTAAGATAATCCAGTAAAACATAAACTGCATAAAACTCTCAGGATAGGTAAAAGGAGAAAACATACAATTGGGTCAGGCGCGTTTACTTGCTGGCACATAACCCAGGGAACACCTGTATCAAGAGATGTAGCCATCGATGCTGCCCAATTGATGTAAGATTTACCAGCAGGACCATAGTGTATATCAACGTTTCCATACTCATTTTCAATCTGGCATACCAAATAACTGAGCAATAGTTTCCTTAAAAAAAGAAAATTGGCTTGTATTTTGATGATTTTAAGAGAATGAAACCTGAGATAAAATGATAGGTCCTCCTTGTGATGCATAGAGATTCTCTTGCTTCATCAAATCCACAATCTTTGCTGTAAACCGTTTCATTTCTGCCTTGAATGGTTCATTATCAGTTCTGAACTTAATTCCCGGAATAAAATGTAACCAAAGAGGGAAACCGCTGTTTAGGAAGGGAAAAGAAATTAAAGTCAGGGATTAGATATTATGATGAAACTGTCTTCAAAATGATACATTGAAAAGATCCAATTTTACCCATAATTCCATTCAGCACATGCGTATGGACCGATCCGGAGATGAACATATAGACCTGCTGCTGCTACTGCCTTCACAAATCCAACCAAATCCCCCCTACCTTCAAAATTGTACTGCCAAGCCAAAATATGTAATCCATCGTTAATTTTGAGAACTCACAAAACTGCAATGTAAAAGACAGAAGAATAACAATATGAAAGTGGAAAGACAATGAAAAAGAACAGAACCTGGCCTCGAACGGGTTCGTGTAAGTTCCAGAAAACATAAGTCTCAATGACATCAATTCCTCCATCTTTGGATTTCTGAATAAGGTCTGGCCACATCTACAATAACAACAACACTACCATTGTTAAGTTCAAACATCAAACACAAATTGAATTAATAGTGCATATCTACTAGCACAGACACGATAATAGTTTGAAATAAATTGAAGTGACTAAATGTAACCATTTCAGAGATATCTTTTGACATTGGGCTGAAGTATCTGTGCTACATAGGTGTATATATATAGACACAAACATAAAGATGAAGAGACCTGCGGAGTGCTACGAGGATAATGAATGGAACCAGAAATGAGGAGCCTTCGTTTGCCATCAATAACCAATGCTCTATGATCATAGGTAACATTGGAACAAAAAGAAGCATATACATAAACACCAAGAAACCAATGCAAAACCAACATAACCTGTGTCAATCTCATTATCTTTTTGGAACAAAGTATAGACCAACACAACCTAATGAAGAATGATTCCACCTATGTTCTTGTATTCAAAGGCCCAAGTTCTTGTTTTAAAGACACACTTATCATCAAGTAAATAATGCAATAAAAATGACCTTGGGTTTGGAATACAGTTCAGAAGAAAAAAACAGAAAACAAAAATGTAGTGTTTTCTTAAAACAAAAATAAAATAAAAATTTCTAAAAATGGAGTTGCTTTCTTAGTACAAAAAAATAAAAATCTTGCACAAGAATGGCTGGCTAGTGGGAATTATTGTTCACTTTGTGTTGTCTTTTCTATCACATGATTGTAAGTGTAAGAGGTTGGTGCTTAACCTCTTTGTGAAAAAAGATAACAATATTCATACAAAAATAGTTTAATATGTATAATAATAGTGTATTATGATTGAAACATATACTATAATTAAATGCTTGTGAGTATATCAAAAAAGAAAATGAAAAAAAGGGTCAGTGTCATGAAGGTCTTGCTCAGATCTGGTGGTGTCTTCTTCCTATGATTCTTGCCTACCCTGCCACTGTTTTGTCTCATTTTAGTAGCTATGTAATGGATTTTATTAACGGGGTGCCGTAGTGAAATTCACTGTTTTAAACAAGTTATTTTATTTAGTCAATAATTTAACAATTGATATCATATGAGCTTATACCGTGTAAGCATTCTCCACTATTACTCTCTATTTTGAAATGAATGCTATAGTTGTTGTGGACATGAATTAGAAATAGCTGGAGATCGAATGAAACATAGTTTTGAGTTTTGATCAGGTGGAGTGATCTTTCATTATAGAGGATTGAGGTGGATCTCCAAAGTTATCACTCTAACGTTCAAGTTAATGAATGTGTGAGAAAATAGTTTGAGTGTCTAACGTGAGAATATTTGAAATGACGTGTGCTGTGCTTTATATAGTGTGTATGATTAACACTGTCCATGTGTGATTCAACACCTTACACTGACAGTGGGCGATCATCCGAGGGCAAGGATCGAGTGCGGGTCTCATGGTTATGGGTACCCCGAGTCCTCACCGCCTTGGTGTACTCGTTCTTAGATTGAGTCTCATCATGATTAAACTTTTCTGTCCATGGGCGTGTGGTCACCCTGTAACAGTTGCCCTTAAGGTATGTAATTACGGAGAAATGAAAAGACTTTTTAGAGTTTCGGGCCGCTGCCCCCCTTGGATGTAGTCTTCATATCAGATTCCTACCTTGTAGCTTTGAAAAAACTTAGAGACTAGGAGCGAGTGATCTCATGAATAAGCGCATTAAATGATAGTCTTGCATCTAGAATGTTTTGTAGGATTGTTTTGACAAACGATCCTATATCCCTAAGATTGATGCTACACTTCGGTGTACTCAAAATGCACTCAAATATTGTTATAATCTCAAAGTGAATTCGCTTATTGATTTTTGTCTTCCTACGTTCTTTCGTTCATTATGGTCGTTAATTTATCTACCTAACTCCATCTACCATATAACAACATCAACTGCATTGGAAAATATTTTTCTCTATCTTACTAAAATAAAAGTATTTTATGTCCTAAAAATATTTTTTTAAACTAATAATATTATATAGTTCCATTTCAATTACACAATTGTTATTTTTTTTACTTTTCATCAATAATTTGATGAGGTAGTTCCAATTAAATTGCTTTAGCTCTTTTCTCTTCTTTTCAAAAAAGTTACAGCATCTTATCTTTCTCTCTCGTCTTATTACTATGTTCTCTATTTCTTTCTCTTTTCTCTGTGACCTAAATCACTCTCTTGCTCTTCTTCTTTCTTCCTCATCTTCTTTCTTTTCCTCTTCCACTTCGTTCTTCTTTCTATCTGTTCTCCATTTCTTCTCATTAACATGACTATATTTTTTAGATCCAACGGCTCCATAGATACACCATTATCCGGCGAAAGTGTGGAAAATAACCGACCGAAAATAACTGTGGAAAATAACTGTGAAAATATATCACAAATTGAAGGTTACAACCATTACGAAGGAGCACTTTGAGATGATTGTTTTCGTTAAAAAAGTAAGTTACAGTTGTTTTACGAAATTTCTTTTCAGTTTTCTGTGTCTGATGCTAACTCAGCTTGCAGTTTAGTAGGTGTTTACTTAAAGGTACTGTCATGAGTGGATTTGTTTTGGCATGTTCAACAAATAGGCATGCTTAGAGGTTTGATAAATCATGAAGCATTTGGTTGTGCAGCAGGACTTGGTGTTCATGACAGTTTGAAAAAATTAACAAGTGGGTATAAAAACCAACCATTGTTCCATGCTCATTGAGTGTAAATTTTCTGGTTTTGCAGTGGCGAGTCCGGGCATGGCCACATGCATTTGTTTCAGCTTACTATGTAGTGTCTTTGTTCTGTGCCTGCACTTTACAAAGATGCACTTTAGAAATTTTAGTTAAAAACAATCGGTTGTTCATTTACAGTGACTAGGAATTCTAGCATAAGAAAATTGGTTGTTGGATATACCATGTTGCATATCTTTTATTTCGTACTGTATTCACATATATTTTTCTCCTTCCATACTTTTTAAGTATTTGTCTTTTTGGTAACGATTAATGATTGTGTATGCGCATGCTTAGGAGCTGTTTACGGTGGAAAATGGTAAACAACCGCCGGTCCTTCTAGAGTCCTAAACTGAGGGTAACTTGCGAGATCAACCAGTTGATCTCAAGACACGTGCTAAGGGCTTTAATATCACACCTATTCCATCGAAATATTAGTCAAGGGAGATGGTTTTCTTTTGACTGGGGGAACAGGTGTAATGGTTTTCCACACTATGATTTGATCGACTGACTGATGACTCGTGACCGACAGAAGATGTTCATACAAAAGTGAGACTTACTAAACTAACTGACTGGTGACTCGTGACCAACAGATAGTATCGAATTGTTTATGTGAAATAGAAGATAACGTATAGATCTTGCTCGATAGTAAATAGAAAGCAAATAAAGTACTCAAAAGATATAACGGAAAGATAAAGGATTTGCATTGAAATAAAAATGGTAATTCACGTACATCAAGCACTCTTCACTCTTGATTTCCTAACGCTCGGAATGACAGAGTTTGACAAGTGATTTGAGAGTACAAGTGAACACACCACAAACTATACTAAATCTGCTTATTTATAGTGTTTACAATGTAATTACCTAGATAAAATCTACGACTAATATTAACATCTTGAGGTAACTGCTTCACTAGATGTTGCCACCTATTTGGCGCTCAAACACATCGTGGATTGCTGATAACTGCTCATGATTTTGAAGTTCCACCTATTTGGCGCTTAAATACATCATGGATTACTGGTAAGCGCCCATGATTCCTCTAAACCTCTTGAACGTAAACCGCTACTGCCTTACTTCGCCACTTTCTCTCTAGCAAAGAATAACCATACTTCCTCTAAGTCCAAGAAACCCTTTTTTGTCGACTAAAACCATTTTCGACCAAATCCTTGTCTTTCACCCTTTGGTCGACTAAACCAATTTTGACCTCTTGACATATGTTCTTTTATTTCTTTCTAGTCGATGTAGTTCAGTTTCGACAGTTTCAGTGTGACTCCTTTTAAGCATTAACTCTAACTTAATAAAACCAGTTTTTCAAACACTGACTCCTATTTCCCAGAAAATCCTTACTTTGGAGGATAACTCTTAGCTTATGAGAATATCCTCATTTACTACACGTACTTGAATACCTTAAGATTTTCCACGGTAACAAAATGCCCCCCCAGAGATGCCATTTTCAAATTTCGACTAGTATGAGATAATGACATCTTTGAAGCGTCAGTTTCACCATTTGACCAAATCATTTCCATTTTTCTAAAAGTGAATATTAGCCTAACTTGGTGGCTCGACAATTTGGACTCTGTCAACTTGTTCCTAAGTCTTTGTTCAATTCTCACGAGCTGCTGGTAGACATCATAACTGACCAACCCTTTGAAATGATCAAGGATGATATAGGGAATATATGGGCACGAAGACCCACACTCACTCTCACTCCTTTCTGCTGTACCCCAAAATTTGCCCTCTCATGTTTTTCCAAGATTTTCCTCTTGCATAGGTGGTTACAAACCTTGGCCTAAAGACAAGGACATTTTTCAAATGATGGTTAAGTGCCTTTTGATTGGCACCTACAAAATTCCCTTCGATTGGCATCCCCAAAGTGCCTTTGGATTGGCATCTCCAAAATGCCTTTCGATTAGCATTTACCAAATGCCTTTCGATTGGCACCTCCAAAGTGCTTTTAGATTGAAATCCACATAGCATCCTTCGATTGACATCCACATAGCGTCCTTCGATTGACATCTGCAAAAGGTCCTTTGATTAACATCTGCAAAAGGCCTTTCGATTGGCCTCATGACAAGCCTTTCGATGGGCATGGTGTCAAAGCCTTTCGATTGGCATGGCAAGGGATCCTTCGATTTAGCATTTGTGTCAAATCCCTTTGATTGGTACTTGGACAAGGGTGTTTACAGTGATTTCTGGTAAACAACCGCTAGTCCTCCAAACTATCAAATAATCTTAATAACTGTTATTTAATCTCTCTGGTAACTTGCAGGATCGACTAGATTGATCCTATGGGGTATTGGTCGCTTGGATAACTCTAATTGTAAAACTGATATTCATAGTTAGGATTTGTATTTGAAATGTTTTATAGACGTTCGACTCACTTCGATTACCATATTAAAAGGATATAATGACATGATCAAGTAAAAAAATACGAAACTGAATTGTGTGAATAAAGATTCGATTGCAAAGAAATGTTTAAATGCAGAAATAAGTGAATGACTTTAAATGTAAAGATTTTAATGTAAGAAGCATGAATATAAAAGCATGGAATGTAAAAGAGTTTCTGAAATGTCAAGGATTCGAATAGAAGAAAACGTTTAAATGCAAGAAATAGGTAAATGACTTTGAATGTAAAGGCATATGAATGACATCGACATGAAAATGGAAGGCAAACTGGAAATGATAAAGAGTTTTACTGAATCATAAATGTTTGGTGTTATCATACGTACATTGTTCGAGCATTCGTTTCCCTAGCCATGTGGTATTTTGAATGTTTACTGAATTTTGTACAATAGATATGACACACGAAATCCTAATACTAAGACTCCTATTTATACTACTTCGACCATAACGGTCTTGTCTATAAGATTCTGCCACGTTCAGAACATGCAGAGCACTACTCCTTTCTAGCTTCCACGCGTCTCCGAACGCTCCAGCGCATATATATTTGAATTTCCAACATCCCGCTTGCGTTTGAATTTCAAATGCTTTGGCACTCTTCGCTTCGAACTCATTTCTCAGACACAGTTTTGTTACCACTTCGAGGCTTCTTTTAAATATATCTTCACAACTGTCACTCGAAGCTCCGAGCTTTGACATGTTCGTTCGAAGAACTGCTTCTATCATTCCGAACCGTAACATCTTGCTTTATTCCAACGAAACATCCAACTTGCTTCGTTTCGAACTGTATCATCAAAATCTTCAGCCAACAAAATGCCCCTTTAAAATATGTATTTCAATCCCTTGAGAAACACTTATTTTAAATATATTTGCAAGATTTTGATGTGACCTTTGAGTAATCATAACATTTATTGTGTATGACCCCAATCACGTCAATCACGACGCCTCTTGGATTTCTTAACCGTCTTGAATCAGTATTTCACAGCATGGTGCAGTTATAAAACAATGATTATTATTAACCACGCTTATTACCAATATCAGCCTTTACGCCACCTCCTCCTCAATCCAACCCACGACTCCCACGTATCCTAGTCTCACTTAGTGGATGTTTAAGCTTCCACACTATAAAAACTAATCAGCTTAGTCTTTTATTCTTTTTCCACATTATGAAACTTTTTCTTCCTCTCCTCTTACTAAAACCCTAAAACTTCCAACAATCTTTAACAATGTCTTCAACAACATCATCCCAACTGAAGAAAACTTCCAAGAAGAAAAGCAAGAACATAGGAACAATTATGGAAAGCAAGGTTGGTACTTATCAAGGTCAATCTGTGCTTATCCCTCAAATGATCTCCAAGGAAAAGGAAATGCTCTACGCCTCTCAGGTATTGATTCCAACTAACGCTGCTGGAAAGAGGTTTGCTCTAATGGGTCCTCTTACAGTTTTTGAAATCTTGAAAGACACTAGAAAAATCTTCCCTGTTTGTTACAACTTTAAGCCCTTGTTTAACAAGATGGATATCCCTAAGATAGGCGAGTCTTCTGATTCGACAACCATAGAAACTCCAACCGTTCCCCCAAAAGATCCCTTTGTGTTAGACTACGTGAAGAGCAACTTTAAACCATTCCGATCCTGCCCTACCTCTGACATAGCTTACCAAAACTGGCTTACCAAAGTAGAAGCCAAGAAATCCCAGCAATGGGAGGAATTAGGAATCTATAATCTGATTAAGTTATCGAAACCAGGCTTCACCTATAGTCATCCATTATTATTTGCATCCTTATTTTTCTGGGACAACACCTACAACACCTTTCATCTCCTTGGGGGAATGATAACACCCACATTTTTCGATATAGCAGCCATCACTGGTTTGTCACCAGTAGGAGAAACCTACATCCCTGATAATGAAGAACACTCCAGCATTATTGACTTCGAAGTCAAATTAGCCAGTTTTTCCAAATTCATTAGCCATTACCACACTGAAGGAGATAATGTGTTAGATGTGGAACATATTGCTTTCCTCACTTTATGGTTATCAAGATACGTATTTTGCAGCAGGTCCCTACAGGTAGCAAGCAGGTTCATCCCTCTAGCTAGAGACTTACATGATAATATGAGGGTATGTTTGAGCGAACTGTTACTTGTTGATCTTTACGAAAGCTTAAGATCAGCCGTTTCGAGTTTGAAATCCCATACTCCCAAAAACATCCTTCTAGCTAGCCCCTTCTGGTTACTCCAATTATGGCTCAATGCCATGTTTGAACCCTCATTATCAACTGCTGACACCGTTGTTGAACAAGATCCTAAGATAACAGATAGAATTATTGAAGGTACAAGGCTGCGAAAACTCACCCCCAAATGATGATAAAGATGACTTCAAGGTCCTTTTCTCAAACTACATCATGATTTTTTCCAAAAGACACAAATTTGAAGAGACCATGGCACCCTTTGCTTCAAGGACTCATGGACCATCATGG